CCTGGCCCCGCCTCCGCCGCCGCCGGCCGCGCACGCGCTGTTACTGCCCAGCGCCCGCAGCACCAGCGGGCGAGCCCAGGACCGGTGTGCGCGAAGCTCCCTGCGGGTCTAGTGCCGTCTTTTAAAATTCAAATGCAGAGCAGCTTTTGAGGTTTGGTCGTCAGGCAATCCTGCCACTGGAACTGTGCGTCCCTTTTGAACCAGTGATGAGTTAATGGGCCAGGCTTGTATTTCTGCTTTCTTGTTGACTGCTAACTGTGACTTCTGAAAGCTGCACTCAGCTTAGAAGTTTGGTAAACTGACTCTTTGAGCTTCAGAATAAATCTTTGCAGTCTCAGGGGAGGGAGCGTTAGCGCACGTGGACATGCCCAGCACACACAGGGCCGCGTGTCAGAAGTGTGCCTCCTCCTCGTCCCATGGCACATTGCAGATCGCGACACCAGCCAGCTTCTCTGCCCATTCAAGAGACACTTGGGAAGCACCCAGTACCGCTCTCGGCCTTAGCGGACAGGAGGTAGAAACGCCCGTCCTGTGCATTTCACACTGCAGTGGGAAGAGGCAAGTGAGGAAAATATGTGTTGTTACAAGGTGGTGAGGAGGAAGGCTGTGAGCAGCGCAGAGAGCTGCAGCGTAATGGAGCAGGCCCGATCTGAAGCACTTTGTCGTACGAGGACCTGAGAGAATGGCTTTCTCTCAGTAAACGTGCGAGAGAAGAAACATCCGGCAAACCAGGCAGCCTGTGCCAGGGAGGAAGCGTGTGTGCCCTAAGAAGCAGGGAGTGTGGAGTGTGCAGGGGCGGGGGCAGAGATGAGGCCCGAGACCCAGCTGGTGGGGCACAGGCGGGGCTAGATCGCAGGGCTCGGAGGACAGCTTTGGCCCCAAGTAGCATGGAGAGGTAATTTGCTTCTGAAATGATGTGGCATGCAGGTAGGCAAAAGCTCACACACCTTACGTGTTACTTCAGGACCTTTGGGGAGTCTCAGCAGAGTCACGACTGGTAGGTATGGCGCTTATTAAATACGAGACTCGCTAAAACTGACGCTGGCCACTGCCTAAGACTAAACAGACTGAACAAGGAACCGCTCTCTGCAACTGTCCGTCCAGCCCAGGGCGCTGGCTGTGTCTTTTTCTTACTAAAGGCTTTGCTGGCATGTTTTTGAAATATAGTCAAGATGAATTTTTCTTTTTCATGATCAGAAATTCAGTTGCAAGAACACTTTGTCTAACAGTAATAAGATATAGGAAAGAACAAGAATACTGATTAAACTGAGTCAAAAACAATCAACATTAACTTTTATAATTTTGGACTCATCTTTTGCTCATTTTTAATACTTATTCAGTTTTTCAAGGGCCTTTCATTAGGGATTGTTGTGCTTACACAGGGGTGTCTCAGTTCACAAACTTAATTTGTTCTATGATTTTGGAAAAGATGGCTGTGATCATGCCCCTCACCCAGTGCAGAGTTCACAAACAAAAACAAATTTTGCCAAACACTTGTTTGTTAACCAAATTGTTAGACTCCACTATTTTTCTCAAACTAAAAATAGACTATTAATATCTATCTACCTAGCATCTATCTCTCTTTTCCCTACACTACCAGTAAAACCTAATAATACTTTAACCATAGTCAAGGAGAATGCATTTTTAGAAAACAGTCCCTGTAAAATTACCTAAAGTTTCCATAAAAGGCTCCTGGCTGGTGTGACCTCCTGCCAGGTCCTGAGATATGCGAGCTCATTATCTCAGCCACTGGCTCACAGCTCTCAGAACACAGTATCTCTGAGCTTCCATATCAAGTAACACATTTTAACAACAAGCACTGAAACAGGCTCTGAGGTCCTCAAGAAGCCCTGGGACTCATTCTGAAGTGCACACCCCTTGGAATTGCATCCAGATGGCCTGGTGCAGAGTGAGTGATTTTCTTCAACAAAGGTTCTCAGATGTGAGAAGCTCTCCAGAATGGAGCAGGATAAGAAACAGGATGGGCACTCCAAAGATGCCATATCTTTTCCCTCCATTTTAGATAAAATTTTATTTTGAAGTACATATAAAAATCTCTTCTTATATAATTTTTGTCTTTCTTAATATACTTCAGAGAATAAGGACTGTGTGTCTTCAATTTCCTCTCAGCATGTGCAAATAGTCCCTCAATGAATACTTTATAAAGGTGATGGAAATGTTATACAATATTAATACTCAATATGAAGAGACAAATCATCTCATTTCCCTAAGCAAATTTTGCCTTAGGGAGATTTAGAGCACTTATATTAAATTATCATTAATTTAATTTGTATAAAAAAAAAGATTTGAAGTAGAAAACCTTTTATCACTCCCTTTTTGCAGAAAAACCTGTACATGACAAAGCAGAGTTCCAGGTTTTAAAACACTTATGTCGTCGTTCCACACTGGACATAGATGAGCTTGAAACTCCTTTAGTTTTTGAAAGTACTGAAGAGGCTATTTCTCATATATTTTGTTGCACATATATATCCCTTGGGAGGTGAGATTATATTTTGTCAAATATAAAATTTTAGGAATTTATAAAAATTATAATACTTATTTTCATGTATAAAACTCCCAAAAGCAGTGAAAAAAGTACTTGTTTAGGAAATATTTTTTAAAAACAAATCTGTATAATATATTTATGTAATGTACATGATGTGGTATATACATAAAATGTGTGTCTATACATTAGGTCACAAAGGCAAGTGTAATACATTTCATGTGCAGAAATTATACAAACCATATTTTTAAAAGTGTCTACACTGTAACTAGAAATTAATAGCAAAAATACAGACAAAATGTTCAATTTCTTTTCAGAGGTTAATCTTTTAAACACTTTATTCTTTGAATAATAAATCAAAATTAAAAATTGAAGATTATGAAAAAATAAGGATAATGAAAACATTACCATCAAAACTGTTCAAAACAAATTATAGATTTTAATTTCAAATGTTTCAGGTATCTAGTCTACCTTAGTATTCTTAATTAAATATCTTTAATCCACAGTATTCACAAAATTTCACTATGTTTTTCAAATTAAATAACTTCTGTAAACAGATAACTTATACAACTTAAACATAGCAAAAGAAAATTTAAAAAGAATAAATGGCATCTAGGTGTGGGCTTATTTCCTATCAGTTTCCTAGATGACAACACTTTCAAAGCTTACATATCTTTGACACTTTATTTTAACTGACTTGAGGGAATATATCTGTCCCTCTGGTCTCAGAATCATATCTTTACAAAAATTGTGGTTTTCTTAATTATGAATCTAATGGACATAATTAATTTTCTGCATTATATTAAAATCCTGACCCTTTGAGGTAATTTAAACATAAGATTATTTTTAAAACAGTGTGGCTTTTGGTTTTTTAGCGGAATAAAAGTGTGTGGACAAACAAGCTCATGCATGCTATGTACTCAAAGAGCTCTCAGGCCGATGTGATGGTGACCTCTCTACAAAAGGAAAAAAGCAGTTTTGGGTTATAAATATCAGTACCTCCACCTAGAAGAACATTCCTGTACTGTAAAAGTTTTAAAAATGAAGTAATTGTAAATTAACCAGACTTTTATTCAAAGTTTTCCAGCAAGAATCAAACATATAGTCAGGAAAGTTATGGTGGGTGCAGTTCCAATGGATTAGCTTAGCCATAAAACAAACCTGTAATGTTTTGCTTTACATGAGCTCTTGCTGTCAGAACCACAAAGCATTTTTCTGAGCTCTAATTAGTCTGCTCAGCAATGTGGAAAAAGAGCACAACACCTCTGCATCTGTAGGAAGGACCTTGGAAGCTCAAGTGCTTATTTGAAATCACTTGGTGCAAGATCGTGGCCAAATTCTAGCCACAAAACCACACTAGACTTAAAAAGTCTTGCTCCTAAATCTCTCAAGTAGTTCATACTGCAAATCATCACTCATTGAAATAAAGTCAGTAATGAGGGAAAATGCAACCAAGGAATCTTCCACTTAGCTTCTGTCTTTCATCACAAAGTGCAATAATTCACAAGCTTCCTCTACTGTTTCTTCCACAAACCCTGCTGGGAGGTTTGAATGTCCAAACTGAGTGTTCAGCTATATCTTGGCATCCAGAAATATTTTGTTTTCTTTCAGTGTCTCATTAGCATGCTGTATTAATGTGAAATAAGCTAATTCCATCACTTATTTCTTTACCGCTAGGAGACGTTACTGGACATTTCAGTCAAAATGCTGGCCCCACGTGGCTGAAAAGTGCCACGAGGATGAGACCTGCATCAGCACTTTAAGCAAACAGGATATCACGTGCTCAGGAAGTGAGGACTGCAGAGCTGCCTACATCGGTATCCTTGGGACAGCCCTTCAGGGCCAGTGCACCTGTAGGGCTACTACCCAAACTGAAGAATCTTTATGCAAGATTTTCCAGCAACTGCTCCATCGAAAATCATGTTTCAGTAAGTTCTTCAAGTAAAATCTATCATCTGTCTACCAGTACATGTATGTATGTGTGTGTGTGAGTGTGTGTGTGTATATATATATATATATATACACACACACATATATATGTACATATGTACATACCTGTCTAATATCTGTCTGTCATGTATCAATCATGTGGTTTTGTTTTGTTTGTCTTTTTGAGACAGGGTCTTGCTTTGTAGTTCAGGCTGGCCTTGAACTCACTTTGTCGCCAGGCTGTCCTTGAACTCACAGTGATCCTCCTGCGTCAGCCTCCTTGGTGCTAAGATTACAGGTGTGCATCACATCTACCATGTTTTTGACTATACCATATAAAATGATAATCCAGCAAAGAAAATTTGCAACTTCTATTCCACTTTAACATCTATTTTGTAATTACATTCTGAGCATTTGCTGTGTTACTTCTGTATCAGGAAGTGATACACTTTAAAAATTTATAAGACAGGTTACTGCTAGTTATCATTTACTGAATTCAATTACAACAACAGAAAAGGCTTACCCTATCAGATGATTCAATTGTATATATCAGATATCCACTGATAAGAATCAAACTTCTCCAAAGCATTGGCTCACAACAATAATCATTTATTCGATCTCAATTCTGTGTGCCAGGCTGGGATAGACTGGAGAGTTCTCCTAAGCTTTGTCTGGGGCTGCTCACGTAACTAAAGTAATCCGGTGTCTGGACTGAGGCTGCTGGTCCAAGATAGTGCCGAGTAAGCAGTACTGGTTGGCATGGTGCTCCTCTTCCCCAGATGTTCTCTTGAGCAGTGTAATCCAGCCCCTTTTGTGGGGCAGCAGAATTACCAGTGGCTAAGACCTAATATGCAGGTATTTACCAAGTGTCTGTTACTGTCTCATTGTGAAGGTTCTGTTAAACAAAAGGAGTCATGTGGCTGACTTCAGTGCCACTGGAAAAAGTGCCTACTTGAGGACATAGCTGGTCAAGGTGTGATTTACCTGTGGTCACTAACTTAACAATCTACTGCGTAGCACTGTCCCAACCTATGTAAAATACGTATCTTTCAGTTTAGTTTTATTTCTCCCGTTGGTCTTTAACATGTCCTCTTGGTAGTCAACTTCTAATGATAATATAGAAGACAGGTGTTTTTAAGTTATTATTTGGTCTCATTTAGAAGTAAGAAAATTGAGGTTAAGAAATTTAAATAATTTCTTAATATTCTGAATAAATAAAAAGAGGCAAATAGAATGATTGCTGGGCTCCAGGAGGATCAAAGCCCTCTCACAGAATTCAAGATTCTGTCTGGGCTAAGACCAAGATCGTCTCTAGGAGGCCCATATTTATTTAGTTAACAGAAGAAGGGAGGGGAGTACTCAAAAAGGGCAGAAACACTCAGGCACTTCTCCAAGTAAGGTATTAAGTTAATCCACCCAGGAGTGAGATGCTTGAGGCTATAGTCTTTATCTAGTTCAGGTTGGATCCAGGTGCTCTGGGCTGTGATTTTGTCTTATCCTTTGAGGCTTTCTGGCTTCATCCTCCATTACAGGCCTTAGTAGGGATTGGTGACTCACAGAGGTTCACTTACTACGAGTCCACCTCCCATCTCCAGACAAGGAGCCTAGGCCTTGGACAGATTGACCAGTGAACATGAAAAGCCGATTGATTAATTTAAGTCCTGCTCAGGCCTGCTTCATAGTGGTCTCTATCAGTTATGCAGAGAACCAACCTCTTTCTGATGCAAGTCTCTCATTCAGCACAGACCAATGAAACAGCCTTAGATACTCCAGGGTCACTGTGGAGCATTTTAGGGCACAGTAGTGACAGCAGTGTGCTTCTCATACATCCACAGTCCACTGTCACAGCTCAAGTGATGACCTCTATCTCAAGGGAGCCTGTGAGATACAGCCTAGCCTTCCATCAGAAGGAAAAGCAACTGTGGTTATTGATCAACAAGCAAGTCCCTGCTACAGTTTACTCTTCCTTTTAGTAAATACCATTTCATTCATCTGTTTGTGCAGACAAGATACCCCTCTCCCAATGAAGACACCCAAATTTTCATTCAATCACAGCCACCTCTTAAATGTCAGCATGTCGTATGACACGTAATCTACATGATGTGGTGCCTTTTAGTAAACAATCTATGAAATACAGAGAGTGGTGGGTGTCATCCTCCCAAAACACCACACACAGCCAGGGATATGGCTCAGCAGCATAAGCACCTGCCTAGCAAGCACAAGGTCCAGAGTTTGATTCCCGGTACCAAAACAAACAAACAAACAAAAAAATCAATAAAACACCACACACGGTATACATATCAAGGGCAGCACAACCTCAAGACTCCTATTTGAAATGAGGAAAAATGAGGGAGCCATAATGCACAATGATGAGATCCTCCTGCACAGACACTGGGAAGCCTTCCTGATAGAGTCAGTTTCCTTAATTACATCCTGAGTCAGGTATCCACTAAGAGCCACCTTCCAGCCTAGAGTGGTGGTGCATACCTATAACCCTAGCACTCTGGGTGGCTTAGGCAGGAGGATCGAAAGTGTGAGTCCTGGCTGAGGATGTAGCTCATTTTTCTGCTCAAAAATTAAAATAAAGTAAAAATGAAATGAGATGAAATAAAATAAAATAAAGAACAAAATAACACCACCAACAAAACCTGCTTTCCTATGGGAAGAATTTCCTAGACCATGTTTCCCGGTGGCCACATCTGAAGGAGGTTTGAGGAAGCGTGCTCCCCTCGGGGAACACAGCGCTCACACGGGCCGCATTCTGCTCGTGTTCTGAGGGATCTGCTGAGAGTTCTTGTTTAGAATTTTTTTTTATTTTAAAGGGAATAAAAAATAACAAAAAAACATTTAAAACAATGCAGAATTTTAAAACAAGATGGCAGGAAGTCAATAATAATTATTATATTACATATTGCTATCTTCAAAGTAGTTGTTCAGATTACCAGAAAAATTGATCAAAAAAAATTCAGCATTAACTATTCCTTTCAATAAACCAATAGAAATTAGTAGCACAATTATCTTAGCCATTTTGTGAATATATATATATTTCCTTTCTTCTTTCTTTTTTCCTTTCCCTCATCCCAGTTGTTCTTTCCTTTAAAGTTTAACAATCACAGGTTTCTTTGGAAGCAGACTAGTGTCTTCCTTGGGAATATAGTATCTTAAGTGTGTGTTAGATTTCTAAGCTATTTTCTTATAGTAAGTTTCATGTGCCAGTATCCACAGTGAGAAAACCACTTTCTTGACTCAGTTCCAAGTCTGCCTTAGTTCCTTGCTCTTCACCACCAAGCCTAGCTCTCTCATTTGCAGCTTGAAGGTGGCATAAACATAGGTCAGAATGAAAAGGACACTCTCTTGCTGGTCTTTGATACATAGCTGAGTCAGTTAGCGTTACACAGAAATACTGACCCTTTTATAACTGGAAATACTGTCCCATCTTGTCTCTTACTATTTGGGACCCAGAAGCAGTTAGCTTCAGTATTTGAGAGGCCTTATTTTTTCTCTTGATCAGCTTGAGAAACCAAGCAGTTTAGTTTCTAGGTGAGCTCATGGTTTTATTGTAATCCCTGCGGAACACAGTCAGGAGTAAGCACTGACCACTCTTGTCCTTTCACCTATCTCACCGAGTGCTGCAGGGTGGAGGGTGTTACATCTTCCTGCAACTCTACCAAGTGATTTGCCACTATAAAATAAAGATGTTGTCCACCTTTGCAGCTTCCAGTCAGCGTTCCTAACCACCAGACTGCTATAAAATCTGGTATATTTCAAGATTGTACAAGGGCAACCTCACCACTTAAAGGTGCCAACTTTTATATAGATTAAGCCAGCTCTAGCTACTATACCTAATCATACATCAAATATTAGTGGACTGACCCAAGAAAAAATTTCTCACCTAGGTGAAATTCAACCAAGAAGGAAAGAGTTAGAATAGGCCTTGAAAGATAGAAATTTAGGGGTCACACAGCTATTTGGCTATTTCAAATGTATCACTGTGTGGCAGTACCCTCTTCTAACTTCCCAGATCCTTCTTTGTTTGTCGTGCTAATGTAGCAGAGTCGCACCATGTACCTTTATGAACTCCTCATAAGTGGTAGGCTCATTGCTTCCACTAACACTGCAGGGGAAGGCAAGAAACAGGGTAGGTAGCTCTGTAGCCGGTAGAAAGGAAAGTGAGTTCGGTAAGTAGCTAGCCTGCCTCGGACGGGGTGTCTCCAACAAATGATGGACTCTGTCACCCTAAAGCTGATCCTACTTAATAGTCACTAGAACCACACTTTTATATGTGCTGGAAAGTTTGACATCCTCTTTGAGTATGTCCAGTACGCAGGCCAGAAAACAAAACACAAGGCGATAACTTGAGTGTAGAAGCTCTCTTGGGGGCACTGTTAAAGAAGATGGCAGTAAACAGTCGTGATTGATTTGCCTTCTGATACAGGTAAGGAGAGCCTGTCACTGTTGGATCCTTCTACAATTCCTTATGAAATGCACTGTGAAGCTATCTTCACAGGAGAAGAAAGGGCAAAGCATTTACCCTTTAGGTGCTGTCCCTCACTTCTTGGGATTAACCCCACAGGCCTTGACTCCTGAACTTGTGTGTACCATATCTAAATGAATGCTAGGTAGAGCCCCAGCTTCATTTCATGTGTCAGAGCAGAAAATTACTGAGGAGCAGAGAATGAGGTGCGTAGTGACGTACATGGTAAAGGACTGCCAAGTCATAGCTGCAGAAAGGTGTGTCTCCTCAGGCATTTGAGGAAGCATTTTGGTGGGAAGGACGGAAGGCAAGTTCTTACCTTCCACAGTAGGTATAGATTCCAGCAGGGAAGCCCACTGCCCTCCTGCAGGTAAAAAGATTCTAGTTTCTTCAGTCTACCCCTAATCTATCTAACTTAGGGCTCCAGGTAGTCTTTTCTGATGATGGGAGATTTGCCATTCAGTATTATCAGAACCTTGGTCAGTCAGCCTAGAGAGAGGAAATCCATTCCTTTGGGCTCACATG